CCATCTCCAAGAAACTTCAAGGAAGTACAACGGTTGACTGGGCGAATTGCGGCTTTGAATCGTTTTATCTCGAGATCAACAGAAAAGTCGTTACCTTTCTACCAAATTCTAAAAGGAAACAAAGGATTCCTTTGGGATGAGAAGTGTGAAGAAGCTTTTGGGCAGCTTAAGGCATACTTAACCACTCCACCTGTACTGTCCAAACCAGAAGTGGATGAAAAACTTTATTTGTACGTGTCGGTTTCAAAACATGCGGTTAGTGGAGTCTTGGTTCGGGAAGACCGCGGGGAACAGAAGCCAATTTACTACGTAAGTAAGTCAATGACGGATCCGAAAACCAGATACACAATGATGGAAAAACTCGCACTCGTGGTGGTGACTTCGGCTCGGAAGCTGCGCCCATATTTTCAATCCCATCCGGTTGAAGTATTAACCAACCAACCACTCCGAACAATACTTCATAGTCCAAGTCAGTCCGGACGTTTGGCGAAATGGGCAGTAGAATTAAGCAAATACGATATAGAGTTCAAAAGCCGGATCAGTATGAAGGCTCAGGTTTTAGCAGACTTCTTGACCGAGCTACCAGTACCTGGAACGATAGAGCAACCGGAGAACCAAACTTGGAAATTACATGTAGATGGGTCTTCAACAAAGCAAGGATCCGGAGTGGGAATCAAGTTGGAGTCTCCAACATCAGAAATTCTAGAATAGTCATTCCGATTGTTATTCAATGCCTCCAACAATGAGGCAGAATACGAAGCTTTGATTGCCGGACTTCGATTGGCACAAGGAGTTGGAGCTAAGGAAATAGTGGCTTATTGTGATTCGCAATTAGTAGTTAACCAGTTTAATGGAGACTACGAAGCCAAAGACTCAAGAATGGAAGCGTACCTCGAAGTGGTGAAGGATCTATCTAAAAATTTATCGAAATTCGAATTAATCCGCATACCTCGGGGGGAGAATACAACTGCGGACGCACTTGCCGCATTGGCGTCAACATCAGATCCTGAGTTGAAAAGAGTTATTCCAGTGGAATGCATTTTGGAGCGAAGCATTCAAGACAACAAAGAAACCCTCGTCGTTACAAGGTCTCGAGCAGTGGCACGTGACCGTGGCGAACCAGAGATCAAACCGCCACCCTACAAATGGAGGAAGTCAAAGGGATCAAACACATCTAACAAGGAACCTGTTGTCTTAGCAGAAGATGTGATTCCAGAAACGATATTAGAAACCGAGCCGTTAATCGAGGAGGATGTTCTTGAACCAAACGAACACCCCGAGCCAGAGCCACGAGTATTTCACAAGGTTGACCAAATTCCGGCTAAAAACTGGGGGCCTGACTGGAGGGAGCCAATAAAGCACTACATCATGACACGCGAGCTCCCAAAGAATAAGTGGCAGGCCAGGAAAATGAAAATCGTTAGCGCGAAATTTTGTCTATCAAAAGATGCATTATATAGACGAGGTGTCAGTGACCCTTACCTATTATGCATTTTTGGGCCCGAAGTCGAAATCGTCATGAGCGAAGTACATGAAGGATTATGTGGGAGTCATTCATCATGAAGAGCTATGGCTTTTAAAGTTAAAAGAATGGGATACTATTGGCCCACTATGATCACGGATTGTGTTAAATTTGCCCAAAGATGTAAGCGCTGCCAACTCTATGCACCATTGATCCATCAACCTTCGGAGTTATTCTCTTCCATCTCCGCCCCGTACCCGTTTATGAGATGGTCAATTGACATCATTAGACCATTGCACAGATCAACTCGAGGTGTACAATACCTTTTGGTCTTGACGGACTACTTTTCGAAGTGGATTGAAGCTGAGGCATATGTTGGCATCAAGGATTCGGCGGTAAAGACTTTCATTTGGAAGAATATTATATGTCGACATGGAGTTCCGTATGAAATAGTTACCGATAACGGGCCACAATTCATTTCACAAGAGTTTGATGCCTTTTGTGCGGACTGGGGAATCAAAGTCAGTTACTCTATTCCACGATATCCACAAGGAAACGGTCAAGCTGAAGCCGCGAACAAGACGATATTGAGCAATCTCAAGAAACGTTTGAATCATCTAAAGGGAGAATGGTACGAAGAACTCCAACCCGTCCTTTGGGCCTATCGTACAACCCCTAGGCAACCTACCGGAGAAACTCCATTCTCTTTGGTTTATGGCATGGAGGCAGTAGTACCAGCTGAACTCAACATGCCCGGACTTCGCCGAACAGAAGCACCATTAAATGAGGAAGAAAATTCAGCAATGCTTAATGATTCACTAAATACCATAAATGAAAGGCGTGATCAAGCTTTAATTTGATTCGGATTCAGAATTACCAGCAGGCAGCAGCCCGATATTACAATTCCAAAGTTAAAAGTAGGCCGTTCTTCGTGGGAGATTATGTGTTAAGGCGCGTCTTTGACAACAAAAAAGAAGAAGGTGCCGGTAAACTCGGTATTAATTGGGAAGGACCTTACATTATCACCGAAGTGGTTCGGAACGGTGTTTATAGGTTGAAAGACTTAGAAGACAGTCCAGTCAAGCAACCTTGGAATGTGATCAACCTAAAGAAGTTTTATGTTTAAAGCTACATGCATTTTATATGTACATGAACTACAGTGTGGCTTGATCCCAAAATGGGTACGTAGGCAGCTCGGAAACGAGTTCAGCTATTAATAAAAATTTGTTTTATTTCTGTATTAAAGGGAAAGGTTCGACTGTGCGAACAAATGAAGCAAATAAAGGTTCGGCTATGCGAACATACAAGGGATTGAAAATAGAGCGTTTATTCAAAAAAAAAAAAAAGGATGGAATGTCCCTCATCGAACACCTCGGGTTATGGAGATCTTGTTGACGAGCAGAACACTTCAATTCCTTGACCAGCAAGGTCGAGGATTGGCATCATGTAGTCCGGAATTCGAGCGAAGTCAGAGATTCCGAGCTCGACCCATTCTCCAGGATGAGATTCAAGGACATGAAGATCTCTTGACACCGTAGTAAGCCTGCGTTGCATCCGGTTAATCTTCTTCCGGAGTCTCCTCTTTTCCAACGTAAACTTCCGATGTTGAAGCGCAAGTGCCTCTATGAACGTCATCGCTGTTCCTTGGTCTCTGATTGGGAGATCCCTGATCAAAGCACATGGAGCTCGGATCTGGGATCTTAAGAAGCCGCGAAGTGGAAGAGGCCGCCTATTTGGCTCATTTCGGGCATCTTCGTTTATCATTCCGATTCTGGAGAAGTCGGGCATAGATTCTGAACATCGAAGGTTGAACTCCATACCTGCTAAAATGAAAAAGAGTGGTAAGGAGAAAAGAGAAGTTGAGACTATAATTTATAGGAGTATCATATTCCTAGTAAGCTGCGGATTCTATCCTAATAATGGAATGATTTGCGGAGAGATTTATGCCCTTAAACCAATCCTGCATTGAAAGACGCATCTCCGATAATATTTGAAGAATAAGGAAAATTGCAAAAGTTTCCATAAATAAAAAGGGGGGCCGAAGCCCATTACGAGTTCAAAATAGGAGCAGAGTTAGGGAACATTTAAGGAAGAGGCTCAGGAACAGGCTCCTTCATTGCCGGTTTAACTTTCGAAGTGGACGCCTTGTTCTTGGCATCCACTTCGGGACAATCTCGAACGCGTTTTCGACAGGTGCTGGCCTCCTCCTCGTCTTCTTCTTCACTGTCAGATGGAACGGTATAGACCGGGGCATTCATGGGACCCAAGACTCCTTTAGCGCAGAGATACATCCGGAGCATCTTCGGGATCTCAGCGACAGAATTAAAGTTCCGTCATTCCCATTGAAAGGGATCACTTTCCAAAGCCCGTATCTTCCTCTCCACCCGAGCGATGCGAGCCTTGAGTGTTTGCCTTTTGAGGCCCAGCCGCTGCCTCTCTTCACACAAGCGACGGTGTTTGTCGGCAACCTAGCATAAAGATGAATGAATAAGATGAAACAAAAGTTTTTAATCAAAGACGACAGATATTAACCTTGTCAATAAAGTCGCAAGCCTCTTTCTTCTCCTTTGAAGGAAAGTGAAAGACGGCGTGAGGAAAAAGAACGCCGGCCGGTTCAAAGCCGTCGCCGGACAAGAAGAGTGGGCTGTCGGGATCAATGGGGGCTACTTTTTCGTTTTCCATTAATGTGGTGTTATGAAGTTTCTTGAGCAAAGATCAAAGGCAAACAAGCTCTTACTTATAATAGGGTTAGAGTTTGTCTTGGGAATGAAAATCCAATAATGGTGGCGTGCCCTAATGGTTTAAACCATTTTTGGAAAATCGAGAAAAGGCAGTTATTGCATTAAAGACGAGCCGTTTTTCCTACTTTTAAGAAATAAGAAGGGAAAGAGCAACCGTCGCATTAACTACAAAAGTTTCTAAGGCCCAAGCCCAATAAATTTATCGAGTTGACTAAACCCGAAGTGGGGAACTCGCTTTAAGCCGAGCTCAGTTCTCGCATTCTTAAGAGAAAGGCCTGATCAGCCTAAAAATCTCAAAAGCATAACCACAAGGCCACAAAGGGTTAAAAGCGGACTTTGCAAACCCGCACATAATTTTAACCAAACCCCCTTGGGGTCAAAACCTAGAAAGGTTTAAAAGCCTCCTCAGGCAAATATCTTGTTCAAAAGAAATAATAAAGCCTCCTTAGGCAAAAACAAGTTCGAAATTAAGTTTTAAAAATAAATGGGACAATTCCCAATTTAAAATGGACGCAGCCACTACGAAGTAACAGCCACCTCGGACTCTGGCTCGGCAGTCGAGGTTTCATTCGCTTCCTTGACTGGTGCTTGGTCAGATGGGGCTCCTGGTCCGTCCTCCACAGTACAACCATCCTCCGAGGTGACCTCCGCTGCCACAAGAACTTCAGGTGGGACGACATCTTCCGTCTCACTTAAGCCTGGGAAGGGCAGTCCCAGTCAATTTTAAAAAGATAAGGTAAGAAAAAGGAAGTAAGTGCCAGGAGCCAAGCGTTACCTGCCCAATCTAGACCCGATTCACTAATAGGAGGCGATTCAGTGAAGAATTCCTCGAAGTCCTGCGGGTTGAAGGTCGAAGTAGGAAGAGCTGCCAAGCGACTCCGCTTTTCAGAAAAATTAGCCGACAGTTCGGTCCTCTCTTGCTCCTCGGAGAAATCTGTATCATGGATTTGATCCCACAAGATCAGGTTGCTCTCGTGCTCCTTGATGTCTGATTCCAAATCTGACCTAGCTTTCTCGGTCTGCATGAAGCGGATGGCCCCTTGGATTAACTCCATCCCACGTCCCTTAACCTCCTTTCTGGCTTTCGATGCCGACCTCGCCAACTCGGAATCATGCAACTTGGCGATCGCCTGATACTTCGCGTGAAGCTCGGTAAGTTGGTTGTTCAGGGTATCGGCGGATGATTCAGACTCATGAAGTCTACCCTGAACACCAAAAAGTTCATCCTGGAGCTTGTAATTCCGGTCGGACTGGTCCTGCAGCTCCCCCTTTATCTTCGCAAGCTCGGATGATAGACCATCAACCTTGTCCTCCAAGTCATGCTTGGAGTCGGTAGAAGAACGGAGGTCAGCCTCGAGATTAGAAAACTTGCCCTTCCACGTGTCGATCTCCTTCTCCCGACCAATGACCAACCCTTCGTAATGTTCAATTATGTCATTGAGCTCGCCGTTCGCCTGATATTACACATACACCCGGAATGGCGAATCAGTTCGAAGAATGACAGTAAAGTCAGAAAAATGAAGCGGAACTAACCCGAGATGAATGATGAGCATGAAGTAGGTATCGTTCACGAATTGTAGAGCGCCACTTGGTATCGTTCACGAATTGTAGAGCGCCACTTGTTGAATTCCGGCAAGATCGCACCTGATCGGGTTTTGAAGCACCGAAAAACGTTACCCTCTTTCTCCATGGCTATGAAAGCAAAAGAGGAAAGGTCTGAGAAATTCAAAATAAGTACAAGACGAAAAGAAAAGAATACATGTATATCGTCATACCTGAGAGCAATTTGATATGAGGAACAAGAGCAGGCTTTGTTTTCGGAGAATCATCTCGAGACTCAGAACTATCCTTCTGAGAAGCTGCACCCAGGTTCGTCTTCTCACCACTACGTTGAGAAGAAGAAGACATATCAACAGGACGAGGAAGACCCATTAGTTCAGTAGGAGGGGACGATCGAGGAGAACGGTCAGTCCGGGCCCTTGACTTCTCTCTTCGCGGAGAAGAACCGCTGCGGGATGACCTGTCCCTCTTTTTGCGAATTAAATCCTTAAGCGGTTCGTTGCTAAAGTCATCTCGGGAAGAACGATGAGAGTCACGGTTAGGAGATTGGAGCCTCCGGGGAGGACGGTCATCGTGACGTTCACGTCGAGGTGTCAATCTGAAAACGGCGACGGATCTGGCTCCTTTGGTGCTACCGTCGTCAACCAATAAGGTTTTGCTATAATCTTTTTTGTCAATGGCGGTCGCAAGGAATGCCTTGTTCTCGTCACAAGCCTCAGCCTTCGGCTTGGAAATCATTTTTCGCTGGGCAGTGAGAGCCCGAGCTGACATTCCCTGGGTTGAGGGAGGAGGCGGAAGACGATGAAGTTGATTGGGAGGGCTCATCCTGAGTTTTCGATTGGCTTCTATGAACCGTTCGAGAGTGAAAGAGTTCCAAAGGTTTTCCCCTTCGAGGATTATTTTGAAGAAGCCAATGAATTCTTCAGTTGGTAAGGTCGGAGCGACGAAAGCTGCGAAGTGAAAATAACAAGTTTAATCAATAGGAATAATAAAATTGGAGGAATGTATGCGACCTAATTTCTACCAGGTTTTGCGGACCACTTCGATGGGAGTAAATCTGATAGACTTCCAATCGAAGCAGGGGTTTTCTTAATCAGGAACCAAGGGTGATGCCAATTTTCATCTTTGTTTGGAAGATGTGAAATGACATTCCTGTTAGCATTAGGGTATGCCGAGAAATACCCTGTCTTCTTCGATGAACTTCTCATGCTTAGAAGCTCATTCAGCTCGGGGACCCCTATAATGTATCCGGCTTCCGCCGCTACTGTTATAATTCCGAGTATGGTTCGGAGAAGATTGGGAGTTAATTGAGGAAGAGCGATCTCGAGAACCGCCAAGTACCGAACCAGGGCTTCGGGAAGCGGGAAGGTTAATCCGCAACCCTTGAAATAAATCTCGTACACACAGAAGTAACCATCGCGATGGTTCTCTGGAGATTCTGTGGGGGCAGCTATTTGTGCTTCCGCCATAATTTCCGGCGGAATCCGGCAAAGCTCTTTCAACCGCTCGAGGGATTGAAGAGTACAAGTGGATCTATAGTGCGGACCGGCAATATCATTAGGGCGAGTGCACTCGTCATTACTAGGGCGCCTATCGTTAAATGACGGAGATTCGGGTCTTTCAGAATCAGAAGTCATTGGGGAAAATGAAAGGTTCGACATCCGACGAAGAGAAATTTGGCGAAGGAAAAGAAGAGAGAAGTTTCGAATAAAGTGCAAATGTAAAAAGTAGAAAATGATGATGAAAAGAAGTTACCTTGCTAAATGGTGGAACCGCCTCGGAAGTTGTGTGGGAAGTGGGAAGGTTTTTCCCGTTTTAATAGTAATTTATTAATATACGGTCATAATGATGACAGATGTCACTCGGGTAAAAAATGGCTAGTACCGAAATTAAAGGAGTGATGAGATTTTTGGCAGGAAATCAGAAAGATTCTCGAGCGCAATCTTTGGTCATTTAAGCATTTAAAGTCCTCCGAATTGGAATGGCACTTCGAAGAACTTGGGGGGCTAATTGTTGGTGTCGGATCCCACACCAAAGGTCCAGGATCAACCAAAGATTGATCCACGAGTCAAAAGAACAATCGAAGTGGTTATCACCATAAGGAGAATTCGAAGTGACTGCACCTCGACACAAGTCCGGATACGAGGTCATGGTTAAGTCGGCCCAAGGATATTTGGGTCAAAAAGCGAGGCCCATGAAGATCAGAATCAACTCAAATTAGAACGTGAGAATTAAAACCAAAAGATCAAAACGGACACATTTAAGAGAGAATAATTGTACTTAATTAGCCATTTAAATGTCGTTTTTCTATGTATAAATATAAAGGCCAATGGCCATGTAAGAGGGATCTCTCTCGAGCAAGAAATACTATAGCAATTTTTGTAACAATTCATAAGCCTTTTTTACATTCTTATTTTTTGTCCCTCAAGAATAATCTTTCCTACTAATAAAAATACTTGAGTGTGTGAATCCGACATCCACATATATCACGGATGAAATCCTAAAATTAACAATCAAAATACAATTATACAATCTTAAACACAAAAAAAAAAACAATATTAACAAAACAAATACAACTTAAATTTCAAATTTTTAGTTATAAAAAAACCGACCCACGGTATACTGCGGAGTAAAATATTCAAAATTTTAAAATCCACCATACATAGTTACTTAAAAAAATGTATGTTTTCGTATCTATACTTCAAAAATTGAAACCTATACAATAGTAATCATACACTACATAATACATAGATAGATATCTACATTTAAAAATATAAATTATTATGATATATCTTCAGTTAATCTTTTAAAAAATAACATTACATTTTTTAAAAAATATAGCCCCGCGGTGTACTGCGGGTTAAATTCTAGTTATAAGATATAACAAGGTCAATATGCTTATATAGCCTATAATTACAATGGGACATTGTTTGGAAAGGTTTGGAAAAGGAGAGAAAGAATTGCATTATTTTTTTGATGATAGTGAAAAAGAATCACTGTTTTTTAGTTATAAAAGTGATACTGAAAGTAGAAATTTCTAGTGATTTAAAAAAAAATTAAAAGAGATATAAATTATTTTATTATTGATATTCACAAATCAATGCATTTTGAAAACTAGGCTATAAATGTGTGAATTATAATTTTAGATACTAAGTATTGTTTTCTTTTTAGCTTAAGTGATTTAACTAATTAGTATTTATGGGATTGTTGGAACTTGAAACCAATTTTCTTTTAATTTATGTATACATTAAATTTAGTTTTGTAATAAAAGAAGCTTCATATTATATATGAAAATATGGATGGCCAACATAGATTTTATTAGAAAACAAAAATAGATTTTATTTTGTCTTTAATTTTTTTTCGTTATCATGGACATTTTGGTCCACCTTTTTTGGTCCTCCATTTATCGTAGCAAGCACATTCTTCTTTGTGTCCATATGTTCCCGACGGTACACACAAACATTTGTTACAACATTTGTTACAGAAAAACAAACATGATTTCTTGTGAGATGTCACTGAACATCGAAATTCACATGCCATTGGACATTCTTCACAAAAATATAGAACAATATTAGTTAAATTACTTAAGTAATGATTTGATATATCTATCGATTATATAAACGAGAGAACAAGTAATTTTTTAACAATGTACCTTCTTTTCGAAGTGAGCCTTCTCTTTTCATCTGAATTGTTGGATAACGCACAAATTTAGAATCAAAAATGGATATTATAAAATTTATACATTTGTTTTTGTCAAAAAAAATATATTAAATGAATAGCTTGACAATCAAAAAATATATATGTGTATATGTGTGTGATATTCTTATTTGTAATATATATTTTTCAGAAATTGATATTTATTATAAATATATATATATATATATATATATACCTTATGGATTGCAGGTGCTTCAACTAGACTTTCTAGTCCCTCAGCCTGTAAAACAATATATAAATATAAGAACACTAAATTTCTACAAATTCATAAACCATATAAATAATAAAAAATATTCGAACTCTTACATTAGAAAATTGAGTAGCAAACAACAAAATGAATACAACTAAAAAAATGATGAGCTTCACCATTTTTTTTAAACTGCTAACTTCAACTTTTGATTTTTTTTTTTTAATGTATCTCACGGTCAACGTTAAATCTATTTATAATCAAATAACATTAGCATAATATAGAAGGTATTTAAATATTTATGAAATTGCCAATACAAATCATTTATTATATGTTAACATTATAACATTTATTATTCAAAGATGTATTTTCTTTTCTAAAATATTTTTAGTCATAAAATATGCATGTTTTTGTAATTTAGACATTTTCTTACTAACAACATGCATTATAAGAATTTAATTTAAGCTATTACAATGACAATATTAACAAAAAATTAATATAATACATATTTCGGTGTGTATTTAAAATATTTTAGCCACTAAAGAACAAAAAATGAGAAATAGCTGATATTTAAAGTATTTACTCTAAGACAAACAAAACTACTGATACTTAGATTATTAATTTGATATATATACAGTGAAATGTAGGTTAATAAATGAGTATCAAATCCCATGAGAACCAATAAACCAGACGAGTTAGTTTAGTAGTCAAATCTGAGGATCTACCGTGAGTTATAAAAAAAAAATGTACGGACCTTAGAAGTCATGGATTCGAAAATATATAAAAATGTACGGACCTTAGAAATCACAAGTTCTAAAATGATTCCCTCTTCAAAACTAGCAGGTAGATAGAATTTTTTTTCTCTCCTGATGTAACGGAGACGAGAGGAAATTGGAAAAAAAAAAAATAGTTCATGTTTTTTTTATCAGCAGTAAAATAGTTTGGGTTTTTTTTTGGGAATTTTCCCTTTCCATTTACGACTACAATGTTTTCTTATGTCAGCCCAAAAATACTTTTTCATGACAGCACTAAAAATTTAATTAATTTCAAAAACTTTGAAAAGATTATCAATGCGTAGTTTTGTCGCCAAATTCACCCATTAACTTGTTTATAATTTTCTTTACGTATCAAAAGCTGAGACTGAAAAGAACTATGCTTCTTCGAGCTGGTGTTTGGATGAGTTGTTGGAGATTATCAAGTGCAAGGAAGCTATGGGACAAATAGTGATGACTGTTTTTTACGGAGTAGATCCATCTGATGTGCGGAAACAGACAGGAGAATTCGGGAGGGCTTTCGATGAAACGTGTTCTCGAAGTACGAAAGAGAAGAGGCGTAGATGGAGTCAAGCTTTGAACCATGTGGGAAACATAGCTGGAGAACACTTCCAAAACTGGTTTGTTTGTTTTCTTTTAGTTAATTTGTGATTTTTTTTTTTTCATAAATTGTTATGTATATCAATTTCACACGATGATTTTTCTCACTTGTTAGGGACAATGAGTCAAAGATGATTGAAAAGATTTCTAGAGATATTTCAAACATATTAAATACTACAATCTCTAGAGATTTTGATGATATGGTTGGGCTTGAAGCACACTTGGAGGAAATGAAGTATTTGTTAGATTTAGATTATGAGGATGGAGCTATGATAGTTGGAATATGTGGTCATGCAGGCATTGGTAAGACTACCATTGCTAGAGCTTTACATAGTTTACTCTCCAGTAGTTTCCAGCTTAGTTGTTTTATGGAGAATCTTAGGGGAAGCTTTAATAGTGGTCTTGACGAGTATGGCTCGAAGCTAAGTTTACAAGAGCAGCTTCTTTCAAAGATTTTAAACCAAAATGGTATGAGAATATACCATTTAGGTGCGATACAAGAAAGGCTATGTGACCAAAAAGTGCTAATCATTCTTGATGATGTGAATGATCTAAAGCAAAATTAGAGGCTTTGGCTAATGAGACTAATTGGTTTGGTCCTGGAAGTAGGATCATTGTGACCACAGAAGATCAAGAGATTTTGGAGGAACATGGTATCAACAAAACTTACCATGTGGGTTTCCATCTATAGAAG